GCCTTCCGGAAGTAGATGCAATTAGGAATCATTGGTTAAGATTTATTTACAACAGAACAGCACAACCCAGATGTTCAAATTTGTGCAGTGCATTTTATGGACAACAGTTTTTTGAACTTAGAAGAGTACAAGGCTGGCTGTGCACAAAGGCAATTTCTAAAAAAATAAAATAAAAAAAAGTGTAAATTCCGACTTTGCTAGGACAATCTGGCACTTCTGAATCAGCGACTGTAAGTATGTTTTGTTATTAGTTTAAGTATTTGCTATTGACTGTTCAAATGCGGAGTTTTGCGCAGCACAGAGTAACGCGTCGTGTGTGTGTGTGAGTGTGTGTGTGTGAGGAGAACAGGGTCACATCACAGCAGAGTGAACAGTCTGTCAGAAATCATAGCACGTCAGCTGTCTTAACCGCCGCTTGTGTACTGCATCATTACTGTGTCTGTGCCCCTTTCGGGCTTGAACTGATGGTAAAACTAATGACATTATTTACTGTCTTTACATTTATTTTGAAAGATGAAGCAATAATATATAAATATTTAATTTTAAAAAATGAAAACTAGAAAAGTAGAAAATAAAAAAGTACTAAAAGGACTAAAATTTAAATAAAAATCTAAATAGAATATTTAACTAAAATTAAAATGAAAATATTAATACTATAATAGTATATAAATAATACCAAAATAACTCTACTGTTGTTTGCAACCCACTTTACATAATTAGAAATATTTCAGAGTGAAACAGGCATTCAGTAAGTTCGGGTGCGTCCGAAATCGCATACTGCTTAGTAGGTACTACATTTGAATTTGAACGTACTACTTGACCGTTAAAAAAGTACGTTCTATATAGTATGAATGTGAGTAGTATGAATGGAATTCGGACATACTGCATCCGCCATGTTGATGTTGTCACGTGACATGCGTCTTCACAACAGCGCCAAAATTTAAAGAGCCCTCACTACTGCGCGAACATCAGCAATGTTTCACGTAATTCTTACCTCTTTCATCTGCGTTTTAACGTTGATTGGATCAACAGCTCAGAGGAAGCGTCGATCAGCTGCTCGCAGATCACGCCTTCGTCGACAGCTTGTAAATCATTTATCAAATAAGGTAAGTACAATCACCTATTTAGCTAGCAAATTTTACACTTGAAAAGAGCCGCGTCGCCACCTTCCGCCATTTTCGAATATGACGCCTCCTCTCCCGTGGCCTCATGGGATAGTAAAGTGTCCATCGTATGCATGCTACGGAATTCGGGCGGAAGTAGTAGGTCATCCGGGTACTTCTCGCCTACTGTTTTTCGAATACTATGAATTCGGACATACTACTCGCCTCGCATACTGTTTTTCGCCTACTATATAGTATGGAAGTATGCGATTTCGGACGCAGCTCATGTGTTTGAGAGAGGGGGGCATAGAGGACCTACAATAATGTACAGTATTTGAAAAATAATGTGTTTTTTGAACATTAAAGCATGTCAACATATTCTGTTACACCAAATACACCAAATAATGATCTTTACAATAGCATCATATGACCCCTTTAAACTGCTGGAATAAAGAGTTTTAAAGGGTTAGTGATGGAAAACTTGCAGGTCAATGGGCATCAATGTTTAAGGTTGGTAAACACTTGTACACGGACGCATATAATACTACCCGCCTGACACTGGCATGTGTTATTCAGGTGTCAAAGTTGAGCAGAATTGAAGGAAGAAACCTCAAAGACCGTACCAGACGGATGCTGGACGGGTAAATAGGGTTGGGTACCGAAACCCGGTACCAATATGGCACCGGTACCTATGTAACCGGTATGTACTAGAACCGAATCCGAACGCAGATTTCGGTGCCTCATTACGGTGCCATGCCTGAGCGATCGATTGAAATATTTGTACTCTGGTTCTCCGAAACGGACGTAAGAAACATCATCGCGGCACCGCACGTGAAAAATAATTTCCCGACTGAGAAAATGCACGTGAACTCAAGTCGGAAAGGTCTAATAATACAAATCCAACACATCTTTGTAGTAACGAGAGTGTCCATGTTGTTTTCACATTCCGACTTAAAAGCACAACTCGGGAAATGAGAGCATTCGAGGAGCGCGTGAATGCAGTAATGTTGCGGGAGCAGGCGGTAAATGGTCAGAGATTCAGCGAGAGTGGAATTAAGAAAACAGCCGAATCCCGGACATCTTGGGCAATTAAGAAATCCCGGCCGGACGCATTTTTGTAGGTTCAAAAAGAGGACATGTCCTGGGAAAAGAGGACGTATGGTCACCTTAATTTATAATCTATTGCTAATCGATGTATTCTTTTTAAAGTATATGGAACATATTTTCTGCCTCATTCTGTGACAAGCCTCATCAGATCACAAAAGGAATCATTTGACTGGTGTTGTGGAGTAAAAAGGTTATAATTTTCTACCATCAGAGCAAGTGTAATTGTTTCGCTCCCGCGATTTCGTGTCCACTCTTTTAAACATTCTAATATTGTATATAATTTTGGTTCTGGACCTGTGATCAGTCAAAGCTGACTCCAGTAGCTCGTGTTGGATGCAGGGTTGCCAAGTCCGCGTTTTTCCCACAGAATTGGGCTACTTTTAATTTTATCTGCTTATTTTTTTTAATTAAAAAACTTCACCCTCTAACATTTGCACTCTCTATTCTGTTTCTATTCTAAGGGCCAGTCCATCATTTTTTTGGGTGGATTTTTTATTTATTTATTTTTTAATAAGTATCGGTTCAGGCACAAACAAACGATACCCAACCCTACAGGTAAAGCCTATACAACGTGCAACATTAATCAAACATTGTGGTGTCAATACTCAATAAGTTACAACACAAATCAGAACTGTAAAAAAGAATTCCTTTACTGGTCATTTTGAAATGTCAAACTTTGTCTGCAATTGTTAACCACCTTAATCTGTATTATATTTTAGGGTTTGTTACTTGTACAATGACAAAGATATTCTATTCAATTAGCTCATGCTCTCTCTGTATCTAACAAGCCATTGTTCAGCCATAAATTCAATATAATAATTAAAGGGGTCATATGATGCTTTTTTTTAAGATCATTATTTGGTGTATTTGGTGTAACAGAATATGTTGACATGCTTTAATTGAATGTAATATTAAATATCAAATGGATAGTCCACCAAAAAATTAAATGCTGTCATCATTTATTCACCTTTGACTTTGTTTCTTCTGTGGAACATAAAATATTCTGAGAAATGTGTCAGTGTATTTTGTTTGTTTGTTTTTGTCCATATTGTGGAAGTCAGTGGGCTCCTTTCCACTGTTCTTTAAAATATCCTATTTTGTGTTCCGCAAAAGAGAGTTACACAGATTTGGAACAATAGTGATGAATAAATGATTGCAAAATTTTCATTTTTGGGTGAACTACCCCTTTAAGTATCTAGACTATATTTGCATCTAGGCAACATTTGTATTTCCAATTGGCACTGACAAGTCCTAAAGTTCTTTTTTTCAATCAGTTCAGACTAAAAACAACAAACAGACTAACCCCCATAATAGACAACATGGCTATGCGAGAAAACATGGAGGCATCGCGCGCACCTCTTTATATCATCTTGCACCTCTCATCTGACACGCCCACTGATGGGAGCACAAGCCAGAAGCCACATACATACACGGTATTCCCCTGTTGGTAGAATGAAAGCCAGCGCGTGCTGTTACCGCCAGGGGATTGGAGCAATGACTTGTCAGTAAAGTCACCCACCCTCTGAGTATCTCAGACAGAGTTAGAATTGTTTGAGACACAGAGCAAGGCGGCGAGACACTGGCATAACTGATTTAACCAGACCGGGACAGAACGACACTCAAGTCCGAGGGAGATGGAGGAGGAGATGCTACCTGCAGACGAAGGTCTCTCTGCGCCCAAAATCTGCAGGCAGCAGCAGCAGCAGCGGAGTCCGTACAGCTCCCTCAAGACCTTCACGAGCAAGCGCGCGGCGGGCAAGGCGAGATATGACAGACCCACAATGGTGGACATCCCGCAGCTCGGAGACCATCCTCATCATCTCAGTCATCAGCAGCAGCAGCAGCAGCAGTATTCACAGCGCGTGCCGCTTCCGCCAGCGTCCCTCTCCATCAGCAGCAGCCAGCAGCACCGTCTCCCCTGCGAAATCAGGCCCAGCAGTAGAGTCGCGACATCCAGCGCGGCATCAGCGGGGAGCGCCACGGCGGCAGCGGCGGCGACATCATTTGGCAACCAGAGGAGGGTCGCCGGCCAGGAGCCCGGCAGATACCCGGCGGGTCGCGCCGAGCTCAGCCACCAGTCTCCAGACTGCACCTATGGAATAAGCTCAGGTAAGTGAACAAGTTTGCCTCAGAAACTTTTATTCGTCACGAAGCTGAAGACTTGAAGTGTCTAACTTTTGGGGTGTGTTTTTTTACGAACATTGCAATCATTTTTAGACTCGTATACAGCCACAATTTGGGACCCACGCCCAATGATGCGACATGTTTAATTTCACATCAGTTTTTACCCGAAAATAATGACAGGAAAAAATAACAACAACAGCGGCTTAATAAATTAATAATACCCCTGCAATAAACTGTTCTGTATCTGTTATATTCAGATGACATTGTGAGTCTATCTGTGGTATATTTACCAAAATCTTGTTTTACATCTTTGTTACTAACACGTCAGCAAGCAATTTTGCGTTTAAAAGACGTCTATTAGCCGTCCAAACACAGCCCAGACGTCTAGGCTAAAACAAGGCTGAATTTGGGCTGTCAGTGAAAATTTAATAGACTCTAATCATAGCCCAAGAATAGACCAGTCATCACTTAGACCGCTATTAAACGACTACATATATACGTCTAATAGACAGTGAATATGGGTCTAGGCTAAAACGAGGCTAAATTTGGGCTTGTCAAGGAAAATTTAATAGACGTCTAATTATAGCCCAAGAATAGACTAGCCATCAATTAGACCGCTATTAAACGACTACATATATATCTCTGACAGTGAATATGGGTCTAGGCTAAAACAAGGCTGAATTTGGGCTGTCAATGAAAATTTAATAGACGTCTAACCATAGCCCAAGAATAGACTAGCCATCAAATAGACAGCTAATGAATGCCTCCATATATACATCTAATAGACAACAAAAAAAATGGCAATCCATCCAAACAAATTAAATATACAGCTTTTATTAAGAAAAATACAATTTTTAACAACTTAAGACAATACAAAATGATAAAAATGCAAAAGAATTAATGACTAAATAAAGCATTATAAATACAATACACTTAAATATAAATATTATGATTATTATACATTTTTAAGAACTTAAGATAATCAAAATATAAAAAATGAAAACATATATTTTAAATAACTTAAGATATTTAAAAGAAAAAAAATCTAATACAAATCAAGAGCATGTTATCACACTTAACATTAAAACATTACGGATAAATGACAGCATAAAAAAAAGATGAACCCTTTGTTGGTTTACTTTTAACAAATAAAACAACCAACAGTGAACTTAAAGGAAATGATTAATTATTGGTTTTATTTCTTGTTTAAAATGCTTCCCAACTGCATTCCTCAAGTACAACTCTGTTGCTGCCAGGAAGATGGTCATC